CGACTGGCATTTTTATTCTAACTATAATAGTGCTTATGGCAAGTAATTGTTTCAGTATTTCCATACAGAAGCGCCGAAAAGCAATGTTCTACTTATGTATGGAATAATGTAATGTGACTTCAAGTTATTTTAATACGTAAACTTTTAAAGGGAACGTTTTAGAGTGTGGTAAAAAGTGTAAACTCCCGAACCGCTGTTATTGGATACAATGGGTTTGACCAACATATGAGTGATCATTAAGTAACTGAAAGATGTATTTCCTTCTTTGTGATATTATGACAATAAGCAATTAAGTACAGGATTTATGTACACGCATATAAATAATTATAAGGTCAGTTAAGTAAAATGTTTTGAATGCATAATGATTTGAAAACATAGAAAAAATATGGTATAATAAGTACTAGATATACAGTAATTTTTTAGTACCAGTTAGATTAGATTTTAATTTTCATAATTTCATTCTTGAATGTATTTTATTTAGAAACCAGCTTATAAAGTATTATTTTCAGTGGTGTTTTCAAACAAGAGTAATTCAGTAGGGTAATTTTCAATACAAGAACGTTTTAATAGTCATTAGCTTTGTGGCCGAAGAGCAGGTGAGAATAGTAAATCACCTCAGAATATTAACCGTAATCATTTGCTTAATTCATTGATATTTACACTAATAACAACACATAAGCATTAGTGTTTCGGTCAATATTTGTCGACAAATCCTTTGCTCGTTCTGTGATAAACATTTTCTATTTTTAACATCAAAGCAAAAACTAGCACTTTTTGAAGTTGCAAATTGTGTTCGAACCTTTTGTCATGTAAATAAATCATCGCTGTATTACAAAAGTTCCCAGTAACAAAACGGCTTTTTAAATAATTGAATAAATTGCGAACGTGTAGGTCTGATGTTATCTTTGTTTCAGTAGCAGCGGTTACTTAAGTGGTACACAAGTTCAAAAATACGTGTTTTTGATTGGTGGTATTGTTTTATTGAATATGAAATTATACGTCTAGAATAATTCAAGAATACTCTTAGCGTCATATTAAAACTGAAGATGCAGCAGATCATTTAAGCTTAGGTTATTGCATTTAAAACCGCACGATTTGAAATCTCCAAGCAGAGGCATAAATCTAGTTAAAATACAGTAAAAAGTGCATGTCAAGTAGCTCATACTATGCTATAAAGAGTGATTCAGAATTGGCGTCATTCCTTTTAAGAGGTAATAAGGGCCTACTTGGAGAGTGCGAGGAAAAATTGTTTTTCGGAAATATTAACAGTTTAATATAAAATTTCCAGTTTGTTAATAAATGTTATTTTCAAATGGTCCCACGTTTCATTGGCAGCGTATTGAAATATTCGCTAAGCAAAAGAAAAATTACGATATTTACTTCAAATTATCAACATTTTTTATGTTAAAAAAGTACCCTTCTACAATTTTGTGTAGTTTATCTATACTATGAGGATGCTCGAAATATATGTTAGTCCAGATGTTTTTAAATTTTGAGAGTATACACGGTATTTAAATATTTCACAATATTTTTGGCAAGACAAAAGTTTTGTGCATTATGATAAATCTATATAATAGATAAGATAATCAGCTTGATCGTCCACGTTAGTTATATCCAAGAATGTATAATTCTCTTAAAAAAAGTAACAAACTATTCGTCTAGCACATACCACAAGGACTAAATTATACGTATCCATTTCACAGATTCTGTATGAAAAAGGTGCATTCTATCAGTGTATAAAACTTTATAACTCTCTACGAATGAACAGGAATCTTTGTAATAACTTGAATATCACTAAAAAAAATAGACAAAAATTGATTATTCGGATCGAACCATGCTCAATAGATAAGTAATAATGGTCAGAAGCTTCCAAAATTTCTTGATGGTGCCAAGTATTATTGTAAAGAGTATTTGGATTATTGGATAGGTATTTGTTTAGTGTTTTTTTCTTTTCACCTTATTTTATTGTATTATTGTAAATATATTTATTATTATCATTATTATTACTGAACTTTCAGCATATAAAATTCACTTCACAAATTCGATGAAACTATGTTTTTTATATCGCCACGGTCACAAACCGAATAAAAATTTTCATTCAACAAAATCTTCAAACACGATTTTCTCAAAAAATTAAATGCATTCGTAGGGCGGTATTGTTGAGATTGTAATTTTTGGATACTATTTTACAATTATATTCTTATCTTTCCTGCGTCTCAGTCAAAGTGTGAAGTAAAAATTTTGAATATCGTTGAATTCGTTACGTTTCGGCGAGACAAGAGCGCCACCAACAGATTTAAAATTTTACTATTTTATAAATTAACTTTAAATGGGGATAGATGTATTACCGTCCATTTAAGGCAATAACTGCTTGAGTCATTTTATTTATTAACCTTTGGTCTTGACATACAGCTTAAAGACATATGCTCCCGACAAAACTCCCATTTCTCATTTTGCTGTACCTGTTCGGCAATGCCTTGACATACATTTTCCTAATAAATGGATCGGACAGAAAGGTTCTATGGAGTGGGCGTCCGGATCACTGGATATAACCATATTATTGATCAACTTCAAAAACGAATCGAAGTGAATGGGCAGCACATCGAATTTTTACTTTAGAATGGGTTACAATAAACTTATAAATTCAAGGGTTTTGTAACGTTGTTAAGCGAAATAAGCGATATGGTGATATTATATTAAATGGAAGCTATTCCGCTTTAAAAAATTGCGAAAAAAGCGATGTATATCACTTTTGAGGCGATGGGACCAATTGATGTATCAGATGGTGATGGACCTAATTCCTAAAAAGTTGTTGACTAAATCGTAGTAAAAAATTTCAATTAATCTTGAATTGTTTACTGGTTAGTTCCAAATGATAGAAATGATCCATGAAAGACATGTTTTCAACCGAAATATTCACTTTAAAATCCGGCTAGCTACGAACTTTTATGATTCAGTGTTTAGTTCTAAAATAAATGTCTGTATTTGTGTTATAGAAAAAAAATGTGTGAGATTAACTCGGTCAGCCTGGGCAAAGTAATTCATATGCGATTCCTCTCGGAAACCATTCATAGATTGTTCGCCAAAACTAGAAGCGATAGAGTTGTTTAATTTATGGCAAAATGGCCACGTTTATCACTCAAGGGAATTTCGTTTGAAAATTCTTACGATCCAATAAAAAGGAAGTCTACAGAAAAAAATGATGAAAAACTGGCGACCTGGGTGTTTCGAAGAGTTGACGTGAAACAATTAAGCCAGACAATATGAAATGTGTAATACAATTATTTTAAAACTACTTTTTTTCTTCCACGCATTGTTTACTTGTAGAGCATCAAACTGGTTTAGTTTGATTGAGTACAGTCCTTTCAGATTCAGGTAATGTTCTAATGTTGAATATTCCGTACAAAAGCTAGAAATTAGGTTCAAATGGAATACAGTTTCCTTAGTAGTAAGTAATTCCTTAGTCAACATTAACTGGGAACTTTGCCACAAAGACTTGAGAGAAATTGCATACTTTCGTCTAATAATGTTAACTGAAGTCGCTTTTCCCATATAATTGTTGAGGTATTTTGAACAAGCATCGCAACTTTCGCATTTTAAAAGTTATTTAATTTCTTAACTTTGTCAGTTGGGCTAATCCGAGTAAAATGAGATGTATCGATTATAAAAGTTTAAAAAAACAATATACAGAAAAAAATATTTTTGAATCTTACTTGCAAGAATATTCGAATTTTTCAAAAGTGGAGTTGGATTTTTTCAAAACTAAGTCTAGAGATTTTCCAGATTTCGACACTTTTTTTAACGGATTTTTGAAGTAAGATCGAAAGCGTTCATATTTTACACGTTATTATTAGACCCTTTGATTTTAACAGGTAGGAAATGTTTTTTACTAATAAAATTGAATAATTCCTCCTGAGTATATATATTTTTATATAAGGATTTGTTTGAGGTAAATTGGAACCGTTCTAATAAAATAATGTAAACCCACGTACTCCCCCATGTCTCCGTCAAGTTTTTGCACAAAAATGAAATACGAAACCTCTTATGGGATCAACGCAAAACAACGTTCCGCAATTATTAATGTTGAAAACACCCAAAAGCAGCACCATCTCTAACGGTAAATTATTTAATTTATGCCAAAAACTTTGGTTTATATTATTATAGTTTTTATTCTCTGATATAAATTAAATCTAATATAAATTATAATGCAATATTTCGAAAATAAGTACGTTTTATTGGATTAGTAGAGAAAGTTCCCAAAAGTTTTAACTTTTTCAGATTTCAATTATTTTTTATCGAATAACGAACGCCCTAAATGCATTTTTTTAAAGCACATGTAACAGTTTATAGAATAATCTCCAACTACCTCCACATACAACAAAACTAAGTGAGTATCTCTTTAAAAAAATGTTGGAAGCTCGGTATAATATCGAGTAAAGAAAAACGTTTTTATAGAACACTAATTTAAGGAAATCACAGTCTTGTGATAAAGTGATGCTTAATATCCCTTAAATACCCACTTGCTCAAGTTCATAATGCACCAACGTTCAGTCAATCAAGTACCTACTTGTAAACTAGATAAAAAATGTAAATATTATATATAAATTTTCATATGTATTTTCCCTAATATGACAATTTCCTCATATTAGTCGACATGTTTTCCTTGTAATGCGCAACCGCAAAATAAGACTTTCCTAGCCAACATTTGACAGCGAAAAACGTTTGCACTTTTCAGTATAAATATTTTCATGCTTTTACTATTGATTACATTTATATAATTTATGAAAACGGAACACTTTAGGGCAAATATAAATTCGATTCTGCTGCGCGCAGCGCATTAAGACGCGCAATTATTTACTATTTCCCAATGATTCTGCCGAGTTATCCACTAGTAACCATTTAAATGCAATTTCTTCAATAAAAACATTAAAACAGAATATGAATACTACATCCAATACAATACTGAGATATTTCTGTACGTACAACCGAAGAATACTTACAAAAATGAAATTTTAAAAGGGTGCGCAAGGTGCTCCTGTTTCGTCCGCTCAACCCTCACTAAAAACCACAATATATCCAAGTGGCACTATACAAACTCACAGTCAGTCCTCACTAACTCACAACTAATTCATTTTGCCGTGGCAAATGGTCCAAAAACACCCGGAAACAGAAAAATTCGCCGCAATTTCAATGCTTCTATACACCCGCTGTTGTCATACCTATCAGAAACTTAGCATATCCGACCCACTTTAGGCCCGCGTCACATCGATACTACTAGACGGAATGGGAATCTCGCGCATTCGGGATCGGCGGGGCCATGTTGCCCGATTTCTGGGAGGATTTTCGGGAACGAACGGGATACGTTGTGGCATGGAAGATATAAATTGAGAGATGAGTGGGTGTCGGGTGAAGCTGCTGAGCTCATTTGGGAAATGAAAGATCTGAAGCTGACTGATTAGGATTAGGAATTTCACACAGGATTTTCGAAAATGCAACAAATAGTCGCTTACTTTCAACAAACATTTTCTTCAAAAAAATTGTTCTTTTGATGAAAACTGGCATTTTTACATAACATGTTTCCTTCTGCCGTAATTCCGGAGTTTATGTTCATTTAAATCAAGATTTATTTTTCTGCTACCTTTGCTTTATTGTGTTTTTACGACGTGGTTAGTGTCCAATAATGCCTTATGACCGAATTTACCGATTTTTTTAAAGACAATTAACTTGCGCAATAATTTCACTACAGAAAAGGTGAAATTGGACTATTTTGACAATAACGTTTCGGTTCTTCGAAACGTTCAATGGCAAGAACACAGTTAATTTATTTATACACAAATTCTTTAAGCAGGGTGGTCCGTACGGTAATGCAAAGATTCTATATTTCAGAATTAGAGAAGTTAGTCAAAGGTTTATTTTGACTTTACAGGAAGCTAAAGTTCGAATTCCACATGCAAATTACAAAACATACTATTACATTACAAACATTACAAAACAATAATAAGCAATTTATTTACATACAAAAGTTCTGAAATAAAATTTTTTATTTCAAAATAATGTAATTTATTTGTACTAGTTGACAAAGCAAAGAGCTAGTTGGAAACAATTTTGACTGGTTAGTATTTCGTCATTCGTTATTAGATAAATTACATGAATCTGATACTCTGTTAATTTTGAGAAATTCTACAAATAACATTTTTAAACAAATCAATATAAGAGTACTTAGAGTAATGATAATCTTCATTTTCATTTGCAGTTCCAGAAAATTAACTGTTAATTAGCCAGTGCTGTGGATTCAACAAATATTTGGCCCAAGAATTCTAATCAGATCGTGTGTAGATCAATTCAATTTCTAAACTTGATTCAATTACAAAATCTTCGGTGGCACCGATTTAATTCGTGTTTAGATCAATTCAATTTCTAAACTTGATTTAATTACAAAATCTTCGGTGGCACCGACTTATTTCGGTTTTAGAGTAGAAGAAGATATTTTTGTTGAGATGAGTCATGTTAAGGTTAAGTTTACAAACAGATATCAACATAAGCTCAAGACACGAAGACAATAATAAGACATTGATTTCGAAATATTTCTGTACAAACTTTAGAAAAAGAAAAAATACCCTTTGTGAATACCACCGATCAGTGGCCGCGCCAGCTTTATTTTCCGCTTGAGGGAAAGCCGGCGGAAAATTTTTTGAGATGGCAGGAGATATTTATACTTTTAATTGTAAGATTTGGATATAATATATCTGTTTTACGAAATATTTTGTTTTCTTCTTTGACCGAATATAATGTAAAATATATTTTAGTTATGTTTATTTAACATACAAGCGTTGCAAAGATTCATTTTTAGTAAGCACTTATAACGACATGGTTTTGTCAAACAATGAGCTAACAGAGTTTGATAATACCTTGGTGTTCCAATATGAATTTACAATACAAATAGGTATTATACAAGATTTTATCTACTTTCGTAGAATAGCGAAATACATGTGATAAAAATATAGTTCACAACTGTGAACATTTTTTTAAACGTTATTATGTTGGAAACAAATGCTGAATGAAATTAGCTACAACACTAGCATTGTAATAAAAAATATTATGAAAAATTTTATTTTTTGGATTAAATAATTTATTTTTCTAAACGAAAGTAGATTTGAAATATTTAAATTAAGAAATCACATTATAAACATTATTATATTTTTTCTTTCCTGGGTTTCAGTCAAAATGTGAAATAAAACTTAAAAACTTAAAATGTTCATACCGTTTATTTCATATAACGTTTCGGCGAGACAACAGCGCCATCATCAGATTTAAAATTCAACACAAACCACAAACACCAATTTACAATTAAAATATGTTGTACAAAAACTATAAATCACTAAGCTTTAAAACATTAATTAGTTCTTAAGGAAAACAAATTGTTTGGGAGCGCAAAACATTTGAAAAACTTAGATAGCAGAAAAACATTTTTATTAGGCAGTGAAATAATTCAATAGTGAAATAGTTATTCACGGAGAACATTAGTAGATGGATTCTTCTATTATTAGCATGCATAGTTGTTCTTAAATAATTTTTAATTCTCTTTAAATTGCTGAAAAATATTTCACAAATTGCACTAGAAGATGGTACTGTCATTGCAATATTACATAGTTTACTTATTCATTTCATGGAAGACTAAACTAAAATCTTGCAAAAGAAGTGTGCGATCTGCTAACGTGTTTATTTTTAGATTATTTGTGACTTTATACCTCTTAGTGGTATCTGACAATAACTTTGTCTCGTTCTCAATTAAAACTACATCACATTGGTAATGCTTAGATAAAGAAATATACGTTAAATATATGTTTAAAAAAATGGATTCATTGTACTAAATCATATTTTTAAACCCAGTTTTTATTTATGCAGCCCTTTTCCAGTTCTTGTAACCGTCGATAACAATACTTAAACTGCTGGTTCCACCTTGTTTGAAGAAAAATCTACAAGGGAAAACGGAATACAGCCTCTTTGAGACTGCTGTACTTAATCCAAGGATACATCATATAATAACTGGTCTTAGAACTACGAAGATCACAACGATACTGTTTTTTAGGAAAACTTGCCAAGGCTGTCTTGAAAGTTCGTGTTGCGATTGAGCCAAATCAATGACGTCTTTTTCCTCTATATGAAAATATTTGGCTATTGTCTAAGCAGGAAACAAGTCCCCCTATTTAGATAAGAACATAATTTATTAATATTAAGTACTTAAAAATGTACTTTTCAATTCCCGAACAACTCGGAATGTTTTCACGTTCACCATCATTATTGTCAAATTTGATCTGATTTTTTTCGTTCGCAATTGTTTATATCGATATTAAAAGTGGTTGGGCGAGACAAATTTTCGCTTACCCCTTGCGCCGCCACTGTTACCGATATGTGCGGGCATAATGAGGGTGGACTGTTTAAAAATCTCGTGCTAAAAATATTAGCTATTAAAACATATTTCTAGGCTGTAATACTGTAATTTGTAATACCTACTGTAATAGGTTATTGTTATGTGTTGTATTAAAATTTAAATAACTTTTAAATTAAAATTTTAAGTTGGTAAACAAATTATTGCGTTTTGTGTTCAGTTTTGTAAAATCTGTAAATTAGGAAAAGTGCCAAGTATAAAGTTTTTTTTATTAGTTTTACCTGAATCATTATGAAGTATTGAAAGTTCAAAATCTCGCTCAGTATACATCTACTATTTATAGCAAAAACCCTCTCTTCAAGACACGGACCATTTACGAAGTAATTGATTATTCGGTGCAGTTTAAGAAAATTTTTCAAGAACACTTTTTATATTTTTTACTAGTCTATCGATTGGGAGTATAAAAGCAATTAAAGCAACATAATTAATGAAWAGCAGTTCATGTTTTATTTTTTAAATACTTATTTAGAGAATTATTTAAAGTAGTTTCGAGCRATGCMTTTTATGTATGTATGATTTAGACAACAAAAATATATGAGTTCAGTTCATATGTTCCGAATTAATTATTAATCAAAACTGTGTTTACTTTATTTAAACCCATTGTCCATACAAAATGGTAGCAATTGCAAGTACTGTAAGACAGGCAAATACTTGAATGTTTTACACGTTATTTTACTGAGCACGAATATTTTAAAAAGCATATTTTMCCCGAAATGTAATCAATATTTCCGTTCCTATAGCTACAATCTGGAACGATTAAATACATCTTTCCACCAGTTCCACAATATCTACGTATGTTTTGTTTTTCTGCGTCAATCTGACTTTCTACTGGTATTATGTCAATACCCTAATGTGTTTGTTTTTATCATTATCTAATTGAATTCAATTTTATCTTTTTTTTCAGTTTTTTGTTATGTGCATAGTAAGTGTGTTTTTCCTTCTTCCAAATGGCCGCTAAAGATAGTGAACTTTGGATCAAAGCTAGTCAGGCACTAACTGCCGTTCCAAGTGAATATACCACTGTAGTTTCACTKGCTAAAGAGGTAGTAGAATAWTTGCTATAAACGTGTTTGTGTAGAAGCGCGGAACAAATTTCAGCTAATTTTTGAGTGGTAAATYGAKTCAAAATCARWGGTTTATSACGTTTCCTCAATGAAAAKCATTCGGTATATTTTAATATGTTTTGGGCACTTRACAACTCGAATACTGCAACGGTTCGACTTATTTTTTACTCAAAAATAGGACATCACACAAAAAATATCAAGAAACTAATTGTTAAATTATCAGTTTTATGATTTTTTTGGAGCACTTGGCGTCCTGAATACTGGAATTAATTGATTCTTATTTTTTTACTCGAAAATGTTACGACCATCTTCGTTAATATTTTAAWTAAAATCCTAATTTATAACCATAATAATTATTAGTTTTAAGTTTTGATTGGTTTTGTACAGTTTTGGCCATTTTTTTCTCAAAACAGTTGTTAAAAAAGTGATRTAAGTAAAATATTTTTTTTCTGAATAAATGATTAARAACTGTAAAAACCTTGACAAAATAATTCGTCTAAATTGTAAGCTATATCTAGACCAGTAATACAGTTTCCCATAGAAAGTTACTAAAACAATTTCCAGGTTAAAGAATTAGTAAGAAGTGCGGGATCTCCGTCAAATTCTTCCTACATGTTGCAAGAGCAGCTAATAGGTGCAAAAAGAAGTTCAGACCGAAGATCAATCGCCCCTCATGTTCGTACAACTATTCATAACACAGATGAAATGATGGCTCAATATGTTAGAACTCCAAATGATACCAATGATCCCAGTTACACTCAGTTAAAACTACCCTAGTAAGATAATTTATTATTACATTAAGGTGCAGGTTAATTTGTTAATAATTAGCGAACTCAATATATAAACGAATATATTAGAGTTCGGGCCAAACTAATTGAACAGACTCAAAGCACAAACCAGAATACAAACAAAATACCTACAGGGTACTCACCGCTCACTCACCTAAAATGTTTAATTCTTTCGAGATATGTTCGTAGATTTAGGAATCGACTATATGGGGATAATAGGAATCTTAATCGAGACGGTTCTTGCATATCACTGATTGGTATTTGTTATAAAGATAAAAACACTGAAACGATTTTTATCAGCGACATTTTACAACGCTAATCAGGTTTTAAACTATTGCAATTCAAAATTTGAAAATAGTGTAATGTGAGCCTTTATTCCACAAATATCAAACAGCCAAATTCTCCCCAAAAGATATATTTTATACTTCAGCTTAAAATGTATTCTGTGCATACAAATTTCTGTATTAAGATCGAACCTTGAAAGAAATAATAGTATTAGGTGATCTCTGAATGATTATCCAGAAATAATCTAAAATATTCTGTTGCTATAGATGTTTTATTAGCCCAAGTAAACTCCAATTAACCCTTAGAAAGGAATGATGGCAATTTTGTGAATTACATTTTTAGCAGTGTGGTATGCAGGCAAAGATATAGGAATGCAGCAAAACAGCAAAAAGCCGATTTTATCAAAGAAATTCAAGCCCACGAGTTGTTAGCAGAGAAAGCTCTAGACGGAGTAAGAATTCATCGGTAACAAATTGCTACACGACGCTTAAAATGATAATAAACAGTTTTTCCTTCCAGAGAATTTTGCAATCCCATTATAAGTCCAGTGAAAGAAAGTGAATTAATAACACTAACTAAGGAGCAGCAGGAAAGAATAGAGAAAATTTTAAGCACTCCCTAAGACAGTATTAATACATTTTTATAGAAGATAAATTGTTTTTATAAACTTTTCAGCGTCTCAGCCTGTGAGCTTTCAAAAAGGAAATTAGACTGTTAGTTTAATATACAAATGTTGCTGCAAGCTGCAAACCGAAAACTATCTAGAAAAGTTTGGTGTCTTGTTTTTAAATATTTTTTAAAACGCTCAAACCAGTATTTTTTTTATATGCAAAGAGACATGCTATTCGATTTTTTATCGCTTTAATTTCAACCCTTTAACAGAGGCACCTTGACCCTTGAATAAATTAAATACGCGTGCCCCAAAATGTTGGAATACATATTTTAAAAGCGCTTTAAATTAACTGCATGACAACATTTTTTTAAATTGAAGTCAGAGTGTTTTTTCATAAGTTGACACCCCCGTAGATCGTTTATTGGAAAAAAATTGTTATAGTGACTGACACGAAAATTGTTTAATTTTACTCAATTTTTTAAATCTCAATTTAAAATAAAAATATAAAACATGAAAATGTCAAAATTTGATATAAAGTCTGTTTTTTAATGAAACACCCTATAGACTTTGAGACATACCAATCGGATTTTTTCCTAATTTAAAAACTATGTATTTTTGCTATAAATGTATTAGCCGTTTTTCCTATATTACGTTTTAAAAATTATAAATAGCAACAAATCAAATTAACCTTTAAATTCGACAAGGCGCTCTCTTCACCCCATAACGTTACGCCCCACGGCATACCCGCCATAAATTCGCACATTTTATGATTGCTTGAGATTTTCCAATGCCGAAAACACAAAAAAAACGACTTATCACACATATTTCATGCACAATTGTTCTTATGTTGATAGTCAAATTTCGTCACTGATGACGTGCATACATATTTCTGAAATCTGAAAAAAATACAATAAACCTGTCTAAAAATATCTAAGGTGTTTCATTAAAAAAAAGACTTTATGTCAAATTTTTACATTTCCATGTTTGATATTTTTATTTTAAATTCAGATTTAAAAAATTTGAGTAAAACGACTTTGTCTTCCTCACTTTTACAATTTATTTGAAATAAACGATCTAGAGGAGGTGTCAACTTATGAGGAAACACCCTGTACGCAGTCTTGATCAAAAGGAACATGAAAATTAGATTTATAATGCAATCGTGTTATACATCTTATTTCCCTGTTTCTTTTCATCAACACTCGGTATGGTCGCATGAAAGACTCGGTAAAGAAATTTTACGATTATTTTGTATTTTTCATCAGCCAGCAGTAAACTTTTTCAGCGTAAATTATTTTATTAAGAACATATACTGCCAATAAAGCAACTAAGTTTTAAGTGTATGAATAATATATTCAAATCGTATGCAAATAGTTGCCTTGACGTATTTTTTTTATTCCGGAACTAGGGAAATAACTTTGGTTGTTGAAAAATCAGAAGTACTGTATGCTGAGTTTTTGTTCAATTCCGACTTGCAAAAGTTGTGATTCTGAGGTAAGTTTTCTCTGTCAACCAACAGTTTATTTAGTTTGCTCATGTTTAGTTAGTTATTGAAAAAGATTAAACGTGATAGCTTTAAATTCTAGTAATTATTAAATAAAATAAATATTAATGAATTATTTTTAATGAATTGAATGAATTAAAGACCAATAAAAGTAACTGCTTTTATAAATTGAATTTGTAACTTAATGATATAAAATGTTTCCAACTAAGTAATAAAATCGTTGAAATACGATGCAACAAAATAATTCTGGTGAATTGAGACAAAAGCAATGAATTTGTCGTTTCATAAACGTTTTAAAATTGTTAATTCTTTATTAAGATTTGCATGTACATAATTCATTTCAAAGTAGAATTTCAAATTTTCAAACATGTTGGCCTAAAAATGTCGGACAGTTTTCTCAACTAGAAATACATTAATGCCAGTCAACGGATAACTTAAGCAGGCTTTTAAAACTGAGTTTCTTGTAAASCTACTCAAGAGCAAAAAGCGAACATACGCTATGCCATTAGGATAAAGGAACACTCGGGCTATTTCAACAAGTCTGTCTTTGGTCAGTATATTCGCRTGAGGAACGTTTGTTCCATAATAAGAACCGTAAAACTGTAGGTATTGGTAACTCAAAAYCCTTCAAATCAATCTTAAAAATTTGTGTTATGTTCTTAGTTCATGTTTTCTGTTCATTACCCGTATATAGAAGATTAAWATCAAATTACCTACATGAGAAAATGTAAATAAAACCTGTCRGCTAYGTACCAAAAGTAAGTTCGTGTGGCTGAAACAATAAAAAAAATTACAGATTCTTGAATATTTRAAGTTCGCCTAAGGTGTACGTTTGAAAATAAAAAAAATAATAACTAACAAAAACATACTTTGCATTCAAACTTCAATAATAAGTAAYAAATTATGAAAAATGTTTTTAAATTCAATCGGAAAGCTTAAGCTGCTTTTATTATTAATRTTTTTTATTCGGCTRATCATTAGAGTGTGCTTGGGACTTTCAAATTTAAATAAATTACAATAATAGAGATAAKCTTCCTCGAATTCACTTACAGCTCCCATTATAATATTATAACTATCAACTTAGTGAGGGTGGAATTGTCTAGATTAAATTGGTTTTCTTACATAAGCTCTTAGAATTACTATTATGTGATCTGTATAATAAGTCAGGCTCCATTTCAGTTAATTTAAATAATCAGTTGTTTTGAAAATCTKTGTATTAAGGTTTAGCATTGCGYTAGTAGTAATTGCTGAAAAAAGTAATSAAGTAAGTAAAAAACAAATTTGGAACACATGTTCAGTACAATGTACAACTAAATCATATTTCGCTTTCTRCTCTTTAAACTCTTTAAACTCTTAGAAAGGGTTACGATTTTTTWCAYACAGTCTCCCTCTTCTRGTTAACTCGTGCCGCGTGCGATAAATCATCTAAACTATGACATGTTCTCAAGTCAAAATTACTTGCTAAAAAAATAATTAGAAAATTACTTAATCWTGAAAGTTGAGTCTTCTAGGTGTTTCATCATTGTCGCACTAAACGAAATTTAAGCTGCAAACGCTGAAATAKATGATGATARTTAACAGTTTCTACAATATTTTCTKGAAAGTATTTTGTCGAAATATCCAATTGGAGCCCCCYRTTTAAATAGATCGCAAATTCTAGACCTAATGRTCAGTAGAAATTTATGAAAGCAGTAAAGAGTTGCYTTAATAACATTATGTTACAGTACGACATTGACCACAATTTAACAGAAGATATTAAGCCTCAATGTACAGGGTGCCCCATTTTAAACAATTTAATATCTTAGTGCTATCAAAAAGTAGTATAGGTGTTATGTCCTCTTTTTAGCTCGCATTTAAAAATTGTTTGCTTCCTTAAGAAATCCTGAGAAAAATAAAAACATTGTCAATTTTAAAATAACCCTATATTTTATGCAAAAGTTTCCTCATAATGATTTTTTAATAATATACTTGTACTTAAACAGATTTTTTAAATTGAACTATTTTTTGTTTTCAGTAATATAACACGCAATGGATGATATTAGATACATT